TGGTCGGTCCATGGCAACGGAGAGATGGATAACTCCTCAACACCGCCACCTTCCTCCCATTCCTGGCAGAAAACCAAGTCCAATGTATGTCCAGCACTGTGGGTGGGGCCAGATACTTGTTGGGACAGCCCCATGGTTGCCATGGTAGACATGAAGTCCTGAGCCGCTCCCGATGAGGCGGCCTCGGCGTGGACATTGAAGTCCCCCAGCACAAGCAGCCGTTGGGACTCCAATGCCAGGTCCGAGACCACCCCCGCTAGCTCAGGTAGGGAGACTGTAGTGCAGCGAGGTGGACGGTACACTAACAGAATCCCTAATCTGTCCCGGTCACCCACCCTCAGGTGGACGCATTCAAAATTTGTTGACTGCGGGATGGGGGCCCTGGTCAGAAGAATGGAATCTCTATAGACTACTGCAACCCCGCCTCCCCGCCCTCCGGGTCTCGGTTGGTGCTGCACAGAGAACCCGGGTGGACAAAGCTGGGTCAAATTTACACCTCCCGCTTCGTCCAGCCAGGTCTCTGTGATGCACGCCAGATCTGCCCGTTCATCCAGGATTAAATCTTGGATGAAAGTTGTTTTACCATTGACAGATCTGGCGTTCAACAGCACCACCTTCAACCCAGAGGGACCGCCATCCTGGTTACACCAACTTACCGTATCAGGAGACCGCTTTGGGATTACTAATGTTGTTCCACGTTCCCTAGGCCGAATTAAAGGTCTCCCTTTCCCGTATCTCCCCCTCCCCACCACGACTTCTATGGGGGCTCCCCGGTTAATGGAAGCCTCTCCCTCCTCCATGACGCCTTTAACAGTCGTGATAACAACCCATAATTCATTATTGACTGTTTGATATACTACAGCTTCAGATTGCCATGGCTTTGTCTTCCAGTTGTTTCTTGTTCCTATTATGTTATACTCATGTCCTTCTGGGCTGCTCCTTTCTCTTTCTCCACCAAAAACAATTAGCAGCCCAATTAGCACTTGCCAAGGAATAAATAGTAACATGGATAATAGCTGTAACCACAGTCGAGAGTTCGTTGGAGCTCTTAAAGTGCAAAAACAATTATCTCAACATACGCATACACAACAACACGATGGTATGAACAATTAAATAAGCGGCTAGTTAGTTAGCTCTAAAGTGCTAAATGAAGTGCGTCATGGAGGGTTGGATCAACGCTACTAGGATTAAGTCGATTAAAGTGCTAAGGATAGTTAAAGTGCCACAAAGGTAATAATTAAAGTGCTAATAGAATAAAGTGCTAAAATCACACCAACGATGAGGTACCCCGCCTCACCACCCTAAGGTTGATAAGCACATTTGAAAAAGATGGTTACACAGTCAAGATGGTCAGCACAATCACAAAAAATCAGCACAATCGCAAAGGTCAGCACAGATAGAAAATCGACACAATTAAAGACAATGGTATAGTCGGAGATGATCCACATAAATAAAAGGACTGCAAAGTCAAGGTCAACACGTAAAATTGACGACGTTCATCACAGTATATCTAAAAAATTAGAACAGCGAGATGCCCAAAGATGACGATAGTTGGGTCGTAAGGTGACGATAATTGGGACATAAGGTGGTCATAAGATGGTCCGCCCAATCAGGTCTCGAGGTGGTCAGCGCAATCTTCCGGGAGGTGGATTAGCATTGGAGTGGTGCAGTGCAGTTCCTTGCTTATCTTTAAACAGTGATCATGGTGGGACAATCCATCACTTATTACCTAACCTATATCACAGTAGTTTATGAAAGGGAGGAGAGCGGAGAACACAAAATGTAACCCACCTTTAGCTCTATGGAGATAAAATGGAATATGAATATGACAAATTAAGTGTGTTCTAAATTGCACTTCATTACTTGATAGTGGTTCTGTGTAATAAGTTGGGTGATCACCTGTTTTATGGTTCTAGACATAAATGGAAAAGATACATGTACTATAATTCAACAGTCTATGAGGTTTTTCATCTTTGAAAAACATCAAGACAGTCAATAGATGCATCTGGGGACAAAAAAAACTTTAACTTTTTTTCAAAAATGGTTTTTTACTATGGAGGACCCAGGGAGCCCCAAACATGGTTGAAATCTCTTCTACACTCCTTATAATGCATTTGGGTAAATTTGGAGAAATATTAATTTGTTTAATTTTTAATGTTGTAATGTTTTGATTTTATATTGTTGTGTTGCTCATACACATTGGTTTTGTATTTTAGGTTATTTTTTCTGATTTTCTATTGTGTTTTTGTGTTATATTGTGTATATTGTATTGATGGGTGAGGCCTCATGTAAGCCACTCCGAGTCCCCTTGGGGAGATGGTGGCGGGGTATAAATAAAGTTTTATTATTATTATTAAAAACTTTCAAAACAAAATACTTTGGACCCCAAGGACCACATAGGTCTGAGGGCTGCACTTTTTCCAACCTATGAAATAAGGGATTAAACTACCGATAGTAAAACAGTAATAATATATATTGAAAATGTCAATTGATGCTTCCTTTTAATGTTATTATTATTGGAATTGTTGATCTCATATGATTTAGTAATTGGTTACTTAGTATAGCTTAACTGGTGATTTGATACTTTGTGACATTTACATTTATTGATCAGGTACTCAATGATTCTATTTTGTTCTATTGTGAATTAATCACAGTGGGATGTTAATCACTTTTAAAAACGAAACACATTATTCGTTATGCATTTCATTATTTCTAATGGGCATGAAAATAAGTAAGACTAATTAGACTGATGCTTATGCATAAGTACCCTGAAGGCACCAAATGCAGTTTGATCTGGGAAGCTAAGCAACAGGTTTAGGTCTGGGTGAATACTTGGCAAAGGGACTACCAAGGAATACCAAGGGTAGTAGTCTGTATTTCAAAGTAAACCAATGGCAAACAAAATCTGCATTTCTTGCCTAAGTCATGACAGGCATACACACACACATAATTAATCTGATAACAGAATGCTGGGTATTCCATGAGAAACTTTGTAACATGCTGAATTGTACAAATATTATTTAAACAAGATTTTTATCGGATGTATATTCTTTCCTGTGTAACATTAAGCACCAAAATAAACTTAAAGAAGATGGAAACTTCATGTTTGGTTTCATGTTATTCATTTTAGCATTTTATATATATATATATATATATATATATATATATATATATATATATAATTAATATGAATCTACGGGGGGGAAAGATTCCAGCTAAGCATTAGGAAGAACTCCCTGATGATAAGAGCTGTTTGAAAATGAGAAGGGATGCCTCAGAGTGTGCTGGAGTCTCTTTCTCTTGAGGTTTTCAGATGACCATCTGTCAGAAGTGCTTTGATAGTATGTTCTTGCATGGCAGAATTTGGGCTAGATGGCCCTTTTAACTGTGATATTCTATTATTTTAATCTAATCAGATTGTTTCTTGTAGCATCTTGCATTTCCATTCAATCTCAATGTGTTTTGTTAGGTCCCAGAAGCCATAAGGAAGTGCCAGCGAGCTGGAATTACAGTCCGCATGGTCACTGGGGATAACATCAATACAGCACGTGCCATTGCCATAAAGTGTGGAATCATTCACCCCGGAGAAGACTTCCTCTGCATTGAGGGGAAAGAGTTTAACCGGAGAATCAGAAATGAAAAGGGAGAGGTAGGTCATGTACAAAATAGAACACAAATGAATCTATATAATTATTTATATTTTATGAGGATAGTGAAATCTGTTGTGTCACATTATCACTGTTTTCTGTATGGAAGAGATGGCATTGTGTCTGAACATTTCACTTGCCTTACTAGATTGGTATACATGTAATGCCAAATTATGGTTTGATTTTATATGAATAAGTATTATCTTTGTCTGTTTTCTCCTCCATTTCCATTCTGGTTTAATGAGATATATCCAGTTTTATAGAAACCACAGGTTATTCTTGTGTTTCGATTACCAAATTATAATTTGCAGTCCTTAGAGTGAGAATTCAATCAGAGTTTACCAGATCAGAGAAACTGGAAAGGTGGGAGTAAATGATTTAAACACAATATTGGAGATGAAGGAAGTATGTGCCAACAGTACCTGTATTGACAAAATATGGACAAACCACAATTAAGAAACTGACAGATCTGACTATCATACTTGTATAAATATGTTACATTTCATTCTATAACAATACTGTGTTGGGCACAAGACTTTTTAAATATTCTAGTAGAATTTCTTACAGAAATTCTACCAGATTTTTAAGATGAAATTGAAGCAAATCCAGAAAACGTCTTGTAAAAAAATTATCTACAATGTTGATCCAGGAGAACAATTTTGTATTTCAGTAGGGAAAGCACAGAAATAAAAGTAACCTTAACTGCATGAATTCAAGGTTAGATAAATATAGAAACTTAAATTAATATCATTCTTCCTTACCGTTTTATTCAAGCAAAACAAGGAATATCTTTATCATTAATTACTAGTCCTCCCCGTGACATAGTAATTTAGTTTTTAGAATTAGTGTACTTCTTGAGTTCGGGTTGCCTTTTAGGAAGCTGTTTTTATAATACGGAAAAGCTGGGTTACATTAAGTTTATATTTGTCTTTATTTGCCTTTAATAACTATAGTAAAGGGTAGGGTAAAGGTTTTCCCCAGACATTAAGTCCATTTGTGTCTGACTCTGCGGGGTGGTGCTTATTTCCATTTCTAAGCCAAAGAGCTGGCATTGCCTGTAGACACCTCCAAGGTCATATGGCTGGTATGACTAAATGGAGCGCCGTTACCTTCCTGTCAGAACAGTACCTGTTGATCTATTCACATTTGCATGTTTTTGAACTGCTAGGTTGGCAGAAGCTGGGGCTAATAGCGGGAGCTCAAGTTGCTCCCTGGATTTGAACCTGTGCCCTTTCGATCAGCAAGTTCAGCAGCTCAGCAGTTTAACCCACTGCACCACCATAATTAATGACTACATCTCAATATTAATAGCAAGTCAATACAGAGTTTAAGATATGGTGTAGCATGTGGTATAGTATTAGTTAGGCCTATTTTAATAGTAATTCTCAAGCAACCAGAAACTGCATTTATCCTGCATCTACCAATTCCTATGAGTGCGAATCTGAGAGTCTACTGTAGCTCAATCCCCTAAATAATACTCTGTCTTTGTTCTATGAATATGAATGCTTTTTAAAAAAATGACTCCCTAGTACATTAATAGATTTAAAAAATCTAGTTGCAGCATACTGTCATGACTCTTTTGAAGTCATGCCATAAATGATATGGCTATGGTTCATGAACTACCAAAGCTAATGTCGTCGTTTTTCTAGTCTTTATTTTTAGATCTGATGATGATTCAAATTCTGTTGTGCACAATTAAGATAGATAGATCTGAGGTTCAAATTAAGTGTTGTATAGACTCAAAATACACTTGGAAGCAAGTCTCATAGAGTTAAGTAAGTATGGACCAAATTGCAGCCTTAGTGCGTTCTTATAAACATGCCAGCAGTTGTCTACTCTGTATTCCATCATTTGTATTTAGTTAGCTTACTGTATGTTTATGACACTTAGAAAGGTTGGTGCTGATGGTATATATCAGAACAGAAGCATATTTGCCAAAACAATGGAAAAGCCTGAGATCGACAAAGCAATATGATGGTGTTGCCCAGATGAAAATGACAAAATCAAGCTTGCTTGGATGATAATTCCTGACAATGGGAGTAAAGTTTAGCTATAAATGAAGAATAGCAGAAAATCTTGGGGAGCTCTTGCAGGAAAATAGGCAAGATATAGTGTAGGGAAATGCATTGACCTTAATGCCATCCATTTTCAGCAGGATACTGGAATACTGAAAAGCTTCTGAAAGATTGTCATTATTGTTATTTTCAGATTGAACAGGAACGCATTGACAAGATCTGGCCAAAACTTCGGGTTCTTGCTCGTTCGTCTCCCACTGACAAACACACTTTGGTCAAAGGTAAATGTAGTTTACCTGCATGTGTACATTACTTGCCCTTCTTGTATGCTCATTTAAGTATCTCTTTTGTCATTATGACTGCTTGGGAAAATGTGTCTTTTATTAGAAAGAAGTGCAGATTAGCTTTTCCAAGAAGGCTTGGGTTTAACCTCTATCTTTTAGTTCCAATCTCCATCCATTATGAAGGTAAAGGAGGCTTATTGTATTACTCTCTCCTTTCCTTTTGTTGCCTTCCCTACCAATGACCGGTCTTATTGCTTATGTTGCTTTGTAATGTGCACCCTACATTGATGTTGCACCATAAATTAATGATAATAATAGTTTCAGCATGATCAGTAACAGGTGTAATGTGTGGGCTTCTTGTTTCTTTATGAAGTTGAGGAGTAAGCTGCCGACTGGAAAACAATCTATTGAAAGCTACACAGATGCATGTTTGTAAAAAACCTAACATTACATTATTCTAATTCTAGCATTTCTATTTAAAGAATGTCAACTAGCAGGATTATTAATAATTGGAATAGAAAATCTTCTAATCAGCTCTGAACATTCATTCTTCTAGTTAAACTACTTGGTGTCTTATAACTACTGTGCCTTTAGTATATGCTTTTGGCAGAAATCATAGAATCGTACAGTTGGAAATCACATAAAGGCTTTCCAGTCCAATGCTATTCTGCCATGCAGGAACACACAATCAAAGCAGTATATTCCACCGTGTAGCAGCTCTTACTACGAGAGGAAGTTTTTCCTAATGTTTTGGTCCTAGTCTCTAGTGCAGAACAAAACAAGTTTACCCCTTTCTCCATATGACATCTTTCAATAGCTGTCGTGTCACCCCTTAACCTTCTATTCTCCAGGCTAAACATACTCACCTCCTAAGCTTCCCCTCATAGGACATGATACCTAGACTTTTTATCATTTTGGTTGCCCTCCTCTGAACACATTCTAGCTTGAAAGTATCCTTCTATAATAATCATTATTATTATCATCATCAACATCATCATTATAATTTTATGTGAAATACACATATTAAAATCCATGGAAAGATTAAAAATTATGGTGAATTATTGTGCCCAGGACACAGTATTCCAGATGAGGTCTAACCAAAGATGTATACATAGGAGTATTGCTATTATAGATCCCACATCACACTATTGACACATGTTCATCTTATTATACTTAGACTCCTAGACCCCCTTCTCATATACTGTTGTCAAGCCAGGTGTCATCCTCCCAACCAGCCTAGTGTAATATTCTACATTTCTTCCTGTTGAAATTCATTTTGTTAGTTTGGGCCCAACTCTCTGTTAAGGTCATTTTGGGTTCTGATGCTATCCTCTGGGGTGTTAAGAGATCATTCCCAATTTGGTGTCATCTGCAGACTTGATAAACATGCCTTCTATTCCATCATCCAAGTCATTGACAAAGATGTTGAATAGCACTGGTTATAGGACACCCTGTGGCACCCCACTAGTCACTTCTTTCCTGGGAGAAGGGGGGGGGCATTGGGCATCAACCTTTGAGTTTGCCCAGTTAACCAATTTCCAATCCACCTCACAATAGCATCATCTGATCCACATGTATATAAGAATATGATGGAGAAACATGTATAAGACGTTACTGAAGTCATGATATGCTACATCTACAGAGTTCCTTTCATATACCAGAACTGTATTACTATCATAAAAAGATAAAAAATAATCTGTAGTGATTTATTTTATTATTTTTTAAAACAACGAGTTAGTATTTAGTGATCATGGCATTCCTGCCTATGTTATGATCTTTCCTGATATTGATGTCAATCAAGCAATAATGTTTTCCTCTTTTTAAAAATGAGGACAATATTTGTCCTTCATCAGTCTGCCAGGACTTCCCCTGTTCTCCAGAAATTCACTCAAAGACTGTTACCTATGGTACTGAGATTAAGTCTTCCAGTTATAACTGAATGTAATTCATTTGTCTCTGAAAACTTGAATTAATTGAGAATAGCCAGGAACCATGTACTGCCTCTTTACCTATTCCATTCTTCATCTCCACTTCTGCATCATCTGCTCTATTTTCCCCAGATTGAACACTATTTTCCTTTTGCAAGAGGACTGAGACAAAGGTGTTGAGTAGTTCTGTCTTTTTTCTGTCCCCTGTAAACATCTTGCCACCTTCTCCATTTCTTTCTCTTCATTTTGTTACAGACATATCTTTAAAGAGCCCTTTTATTGTTTTTAACCTTTTTAACAAGCTTGAGAATGTTCTGATTTTTCCTGATTTTTCCCCATACACACTTGCTATTCATTTGATGGTTCCCCCACTTTTGATTTCTTTTACATGCCTCTTTTAAGTGTTAGCTCCCATGACACTTATTTAGACTTCTATCTTATTTCTTTAGACATCACCCATATTCCTCCTGATTGGAACCATCTGAAATTGTGCTTTCAATATCTCACTTTTAAGAAAACCTCATCCATTATTCTCAGAGGAAGTTGCGTAATATTTCATGGCCCCTACCTGAATGATTACCCTACTAGTATCCACCTACTTGTAGCATCACCTTTCATTTTATATTTTTTAGATTTTTATGCTGTTATTTTTAAACAGAACTTAACTGCTTAATGCATTTGATGAAGCCATAGTTTATTTGCTTGTTGAGAGTTGTTTTTATCTGTTTTTAAATTTTATTTAAATGTTAATTTAAGATGCTATTTTATATTGTATGGAACATTGAATGTCTGCCTTTTTTGAAAGCCACCCTGAGTCCCTTCGGGCTGATAGAGTGGGTTAGAAATAAAGATTATTATTATTATTATTATTATTATTATTATTATTATTATTATTATTATTATTAAATTCTATTCTTTTTTTAGTATCACTGAATAACATTCAACATTTCACTGTTTACTGAAAATCAGATTTCTTAAAATCTAGAATGCGTGTCTGACAATGCTTGGTTTCTCCTTTCTACTATATAACAAACTCCAGGAGAACAGCTGAAATGTCTTATATAACTATAGTTAGAGCTGCTGTGAGGACACAGAGCAGAGAGTCAATTAGCCAGTCTAGTGGAAGAAGATTTCTTTTTGTACTTTGCTTGGGAACATATTTTAGCTTTTGTATTTCTGAAGTCCTTTTAAAGTTGCACAAAATTACTTGAAACATTAACTTCTCTGGACTAAGTGTGTGTATCCTAACTGATTGAAGGGCAAATCAGGTTGTCATCTTTGATGCGTAAGAAGTGCTGTTGGGTAAATAAAAGAACCACATGCATACATATTCAAAGGAATCCTTCTATATATATTGAATGTTTAGTCATAATACAGTTTGCCATGGGGAGCGAGCTTTTCAAATTTAGCACACCATTTCTTTTTTGCATGACAAGGACTCCTTAGGTGGAAAGATTTTCCGTCTCATTTCATCTTGGAAAGGGCTGGCAAAGCCAGCAAATAGTTAGCAAATTCATAAATTTAAATAAAATGGCACCTAGTCCCAAACATTTGTTTAAAGTAGTATTTTATATTTGCTATTGAGTTTACATTAATTACAATTTGCCTGAATGATATCAGGACACCAAGCAATCTGGTTCTGCCCTAAAATTAGCTTTGATATAAATATTGTTACATAAACAGCAGTTAGATTTAGTGGAACTTCTTATTAACTAAATAATATTTTTATTTGAATTATTTGGATATTCAGTTGTTTCTTTCAATAAGCTACCACCTCATGGTCTAGCCTCAAGGACCTTGCATGTGAACAGCTTTTCTCACATGCTTGTGTTGTCTCTAATCTGTGCATAGCCTTAAGTGATGCTCTAATGTGCCTGCTACTGTTGACTCATTATCCTAACAAGTGTATAGTATTACATGTTATGCAATTACATTGGGATGTGTCCTCTGGAATCTGTTAATTCTGGCATAGAAAATCTAAAAGGACAGAGCTTTGTTTTTCCAAAGAAAGCACCAAAAGCTGATTTGTCATTTAACAATTTGTCATGTATGTAAACATTGGTCTTGTGAAGCATTAAAATTTAACTGATTTCAGCCAATGTTTAGGTATTTATATGTGCCTTTTAAAGAAATTGTGCTTCTGCTTTTTTCCCTAACTCCACTAAGGTCTCCTACTCTAACCTCACTTACACTTTGATGCCCTCTGCTGGCTTTTTCTCAGTATACTGACTATACTGAGATATTTGCATGAAAATGTCTTTGGGAAAGAGAGAATGAAAGATTTCATACAAGAGAACAGATATCACTATAGAAGCAATATAAGTGCTGCACATAGCAAATCCAAATATTAACTTCAAAGGCAGCTTTCAAAAGCAAAGTATGGCTTCTAGAATATTTAGCTTTTGCTGTATCTTCTTATATACTGTAAGGGATGTAGTTTATGCCCCTGTGGTTTACAACCTATGCATGAGAGAGATGGTAAACAGGAAGGAAGGAGAGAAAGCTTGATAAAGGAGTAGCAAACTGATATAGGGAACTGCATTGTGACGTTAATTTGTCTGTGAAACAGGTACTGTAAATTATCAGAAAGCAGGCTACATTAAACAAATCTCTGAAGTAGCCTGAAAGTAGACCACAGATGTATATAATTATAAGGACTTTAAAAATGGCTATCTATGAAGAGGTTTTTGTCTATGTGAATAATCAAGGAATAGCATCCAATCATCAGGTAACAGCATCAAATTCTCATTTTTCTTTAACGCTTTTAATGTAATTTCTTAAAATATCTTGCTGTATGTTTCAGGTATTATTGACAGCACTCAGGTAGAACAGAGGCAGGTGGTAGCAGTGACTGGCGATGGAACAAATGATGGACCAGCACTCAAGAAAGCTGATGTTGGCTTTGCAATGGTATATCTTGCACCTTTTCTCTTATCATTGCATTTGTTGTAATAGGGGTATTGTGGTGTGAAAATAGGTCATTTTAGAGTGGGGTGAAATATTCCCCAAACTCCAGATATGCAGTTAATATTATTTCTCCAACCTTCTACTGGTGTGATGCAAGCTTTACTTTTAAGATGTCATTTTCTTTGTGGAAAACAAAGATATGAAAAGTTACTTTTGTGGAGCACAACTGTCAGAATCCCCCAGCCAGTAAACCCACTGATCAGTTCCACTTCTCTAGATAGTGAAATAAACGTATGAGCTCTACAGGTTGAACAATCATTATCTGGAAATCCAAAATATTCTAAAATTGCCCGCATAGTTGCCTGACATAGTAGCATTTGGCTTTCGGGTGGTTCAATACACACAAACTGCTTCATACACCAAACTATTAAAATATGGTGTATAAAATTACTTTCAGCTGTATATGAAATATAAATACATTTTCTGTTTAGACTTGGGTCCCAATATCTCATTAGGCAAACACAGGCATTCCAAAAAAATCCAAAACTCTTGGTCCTGGGCTTTTCATATAAGGTATACTCAATCTGTATCATTAGAATGGAATTAGGTCATAAATGCTTCATCCAATTTCTATACATACATTTCAGAGTAATACCACTAATGTAAGAAGTTTGATATCAAACTCATGGTTTGATATCTTGACAAACTTTAGATATTACAGATTATTAACATTTTCTAATTCAGTTTTCAAACTACCTTAGTGAACTGTTGCTAAGGAAAAGAAGTCAAAAAGCCCATAAGTGAGTACCATGATCCTCAAAAACTTTTATTTATTGACAGCTATCTCAAATTATTTTGGAAGTGTTTTTCTTCACCAAATCATTACTGCTCATTCTATTAAATTATTCCTGTCATTTCTTCCACATTTTTAGGGTATTGCAGGAACTGATGTGGCAAAGGAAGCCTCAGATATTATCCTGACAGATGACAATTTCAGTAGTATTGTGAAAGCTGTAATGTGGGGGCGTAATGTCTATGACAGTATCTCCAAGTTTCTGCAATTCCAGCTCACAGTGAATGTGGTGGCTGTGATTGTCGCTTTCACAGGGGCTTGCATTACCCAGGTAAGGCTAAATAAATAAATGTGTGAACAAAATGGATAAATGTCATCACAATTCCATTACCAGCAGGTATAGCAAATCATTATACATTTTTTTCTGCAATGGCAAAGCTCATATAGATCCTAATATATGGGTCTCATTCAGACTTTACATCTGAACCTAACCTAAACAAAAATTATGAGCATGACAACTGGGGTAAGTCAATTTGTGATTCACCATATCATTTATTAACTTATGTATGTATGACTATGTATGTATGTATGTATGTATTTATTTATTTATTTATTTACTGTACTTATACCCTGCCCTTCTCACCCCTGAAGAGAGACTCAGGACGGCTTACAAACTATGGCAATAATTCAGTGCCAGATTTAGACAATATCAATATTAGCAAACCACAATATTATAAAACTGTAAACATCATATAAATATCAATTAAAATAGTCTTTCAAACGATTAAAACATATCAAACATATCAAAAGTCTAATGGGACCATGATGGATAAATGTGTTAAAAATATCCTCCATCCCTCAAAACACTTCTTCCTTAAATGTATTATTTATTTTCATTTACTAATTTTCATTACTGTTCAATTACTGTCCAAAAATGATATCATAGATTTCAAAAAGTAATGTTTTAAGTATAGAAGCATGAACACAGTGGACCCTTTTCACTCTCGTGCACTAGGTAAATTCAGCCTCTTTGAGCAAACTCATGAATAAGTCATTAGGTATACTGTAAAGAATAAGTTTACCTTGTCATCATGATATGGCCAAGTGAAACCTGAAGCTGTCTCTGTTAGAAGCCACAAAGGTGAAACTCCTCCCAAATTACTCCTCTAAATTTTTCAAGGTGTCCAAAGGTTATAACTATTTTGTTCTTCAAGGGCCTTCATTCCTCTGAGCACTGAAAACTCAAGATATTGCTGTTGATACTGCAGCTAAATATAAGCAGAGATGCGAAAATAAAATTGGAGATGGGGAAAAATCTGTTCCCAAGGCTAGTTTACATCAATTTTCCAATCTGTAGAGAGATCTGGCAGATAGTTTTACGAAATTCCTGGAAGCACAGTGGCATATAGTACACTGTAAAATTCCTCTTGGACCAATAATTTTAAGTAGCCCCTGATATAGAAAGATCAAACAGAAGCATAAATGGAACAAAAGTATCAAAGCATGCTGAAATGTTGTTTTATTTAATCATTTAAGTTTAGAAATGAGCCACACATACCCCAATGGGCGTAGCTTAGCAGATAGCTCTTTTCCCCCTACCTCAAGGAGGAAGGAAGTCCAGTCATCTAGGCATTTATTTTTCTCCTTTAGGATTAATGTGGAACCTCAGATCATGCAAAGCAATACTGGAGAAAAAAAGTAGGCTCAATCATGGAATAATTTCAAAGGTGCAAAATTATTCAACTATTAGAAATCTCAGGGAAAACACTCTGACCTTACTGTAATAATAATAATAATAATAAGAAGAAGAAGAAGAAGAAGAAGAGAAACAACTGGAAAAGCTGACACAATATGAGGATTTAAAGACTGAACTGCACAGACTCTGGCACAAGCCAGTAAAGGTAGTATTGGTGATCGGCACACTGGGTGCAGTGCCTAAAGACCTTGGCCTGCACTTAAACACAATTGGCACTGACAAAATTACCATCTGCCAGCTGCAGAAGGCCACCTTACTGGGATCTGCAAGCATTATTCACCAATACATCACACAGTCCTAGACACTTGGGAAGTGTCTGACGTGTGATCCAATTCAACAGCCAGCAGAGTGTCTGCTGTGGACTCATCTTCTTGTGTTTCAAATAATAATAATAATAATAATAATAATAATAATAATAATAATAATAAATAAATAAATAAAAAAGATCATATCCTCAGCTGCTGCAAGAAGATCGCACAGACAGACTACAAGCAGAGGCATAACACCGTTGATCAGATGATTAATTGGAACTTCTGCCACAAATACCATCTGCCAGTGACAAAGAACTGGTGGGATCACAAGCCTGAAAAAGTTACAGAAAATGAACATGTCAAACTATTCTGGGACTTCCGAATTCAGACAGACAGAGTTTTGGAGCACAATACTCCTGACTTCATGATTGTGTTTAAAAAACAAAGTATGGATCGTTGATGTTGCAATCCCAGGTGACAGCAGGATTGAAGAGAAACAACTGGAAAAACTGACATGATATGAGGATTTAAAGATCAAACTGCAAAGACTGCCACAAGCCAGTCAAGGTGGTCCCAGTGGTGATCACCCTAAAGACCTTGGCCTGCACTTAAACACAATTGGCGCAGACAAAATTACCATCTGCCAGCTGCAAAAGGCCACCTTACTGGGATCAGCATGCATTATTTACCGATACATCACACAGTCCTAGACACTTGGGAAGTGTCCGATGTATGATCCAATACAACAGCCAGCAGAGTGATCTTGTTTGCTGTGGACTCATCTTGTTGTGTTTCAAATAACAACAACAACAACTGAGGGGGACATAAGCCATATTTAGGGGTTTCTAGGATGCTTTAGGAATGTAGGCTGCTTAAGGAACATTGCAAGGGGCTTGGAGCTTGGTAAACAGGATGGTTGACCAAGACAGGCTTCCTCCAGCATAGCTAACTGCTTGATCACAAAGGTATATATTACCCCATAGTTGCTGGGAACTGGCTGACCACAAGGTAACGGTAACCCCATGGGCCTCTGGAAAACAACAACTGACCACAGGGTACAAATTCACTGGTAACTGACCACAGGGTTGACCACAAGGGGCATGTTTATGTTAAAAGAAATGTTTGCTTAATGTTATATCTAAATAAGGGAAAAAGGGAACCTTGAAAGTTGTCAACAAGTAAGGTATATAAGTCCAATGTTCGTCCCAAGTCGGGGCGGACAATTTTGTACCGGCATACTGTGTGTTATGCTGCTTGTCCGTCTTCCTATTGCGCAATACGAATAAACCCCGTTTTGCCCTAACTCGTTTGGACTTTGCTTCATCCAAAGTGGTTCAACCAAGGACCTGGTTGGTAAGATTTGGGGATTTGGGAATATTGGCAATTTTCCCCTTACACAACAACTTGAAATATGAAAGAACAGTTCAACATGAACAATGTTTTCTTGGGAATTTTTCATTCGATCTTAATAGCTATGGTTTAATACTGGACTAAAATATATCTAGTGCGCTCTTGTGACGTGCTAGGTACTGTTGTGTGCAGTTGCTGGGTAGGTTTTCTAAAACCGCTATATTGTAATTGGTACAGTGTAAGTTTGCTTTCATGCCAGATTGCTAATTTCAAATACTGAAATCTAGTCCAATGTGTTGTTAAATAAAGTGTTGTCTTTGGTTGATTTTTGAATCCTGAAAGGAGCAAGATTCCCCTGCAAGACCCCATGTGAAAAACTAGCAAGTGCTGAGTTCCATGCTGAAGCTTTCTTGTCTCTTCCTCTGTGTTCAGGTGTTCTCTGTGTGTATGACTGAGCAGTGTGCATGCATAAATTGTGCTTCTGAAACCAGGGAGGCATTGTCATTACAGAAAAGAATTGGATGAACTATTAAGAGTACAAATGTACTTTCTTGAAGGATCTTGATAAATAATTGCTAAATAATATTGCACACATTTATTTTATGTCATTCATTCATTGACTACTTAAAAACTAAAGGTTACTTTCTAACAACAGAATGATACAAAATTACTATGGTATTCTGGTGTTCACCCAATATCCAAGATAAATGTAGGTTTTTTTTCAAAACTGCATAATGTATAATTGAGAAATTCATAAATTATAAAGATGGCAGAACTATTATGATTATAAACATTTTCCTGTACCAGATGTGACAATATATGCATGACCATAGGGGAGCAAATCATCTTTAGATTTTATGGATACTTCTGCAGCAGCTGTGCTCTTATATGGGAACTCTCCCAGGACTAGATTATAATCTAATAGAAATTTGACAACAAGAAAGCTCCCAGACAACTCAGAACAGTTGTGAAGGGATCAGCTGTAAACTTAGAGTGGGTTTACCTCCTCTGCAGCAATGGATCCAGCAACTACCCATGTGCTAAGTGACAGTCTAGTAGTTACGTGCTTACACAATATACTTAACATTGATTCTCTAGGAAAATCTTCACAACATTTTATGCTTGAATTGGTGCCTTTGCAATTTTGGTGTTAGCTACTCTCTGGGAGGGGGAAGCTGGTACAAATCATTTCATATCCAGTTTTTGTACATATTTTGTGTCTCAGGCAGAATGTAGGAAGTACACTCAAAACAGACTGTCCCTTGAACATTTGGTACATAGAGGAAAGGACTTGGATTACATGTGTGGTTGTTGCTTACTATTCGTGATGTGGTACGAGATCTTGTAAGAGCTTAGAACATCAATAAAAGGTTTTATAGAGACCTGCCTCACATGTACCAGCTAGTCTTGTGATGGCTGCCAATCCTAGCTGAGAAGGGGTGGAGCAAGAAAAAATGATTTTGGTCCAAACCTGCTCTTGACTGTCCTTCATAAAATATGAAAGGCCTCCAATATTTTTACGCAATCTAGAGTTGAACTCCTTGTTACTATCTTCCATAATTAGTATGCAGATAATAAGTGTTGCCTTTGAGCATTGACATTATTTCCAAACTTCCTTAGGATCCACATAAATTTATTGTGAATGTGTATGCAATTGCTACCCTCCCCCCAAATTATGCCATCTAATAAGGGATGAAGGAAATATTTAAAGTCCCTGCTCCTGCTCTTGTGTAAAGTGGACAATTGACTTTCCTTTGTGGCCACAAAGCCACAAAGGTCATCTATGGACCAAGAAACCATGGCCTCTATGCTCATCAGATGAAACCAAACTTTTGAAGGACAAAAAAATCAATTGCACTACGTTGGAAAGAACACTACCAAAGCCTCCTGAATCGCAGCTCCAATGTGGCCAAAGAGGTTTTCTCACAAATCCTGCAACAACAAACCAGGGATGAGCTTGCAACACTGCCTAGTTTGGAAGAAGTCAGCAATGCCATCAGCCAACAAAAAATAACAAAGTCAGCAGACCTGATGGAATCCCTGCTGAAATCTTTAAAGAAGGTGGACCTAAGCTGACACGCCAACTCCACCAGCTCATAGAAAAAGTGTGGGTGACCGAGAAAATCGCAGCAGATTTCAAGGATGGTCACCATCATCACCCTCTTCAAAAAAGGGGAAAGAACAGACTGCAGAAACTATCGAGGTATCTCCCTTCTAACCTCAGCTGGGAAAATCCTTGCAAGAATCCTTGCAAGCCGCTTTCTACCCCTCTCAGAAGACACCCTCCCAGAATCCCAGAATGGCTTCCGCCCCTCCAGTGGAACCGTGGACATGATCTTCACTGCACGACAGCTCCAAGAAAAATGCAGGGAACAAAATCAACCTCTGTACATGGCATTCATCGACCTTGCAAAGGCATTCGACACAGTCAATCTCAGCGCTCTCTGGACCACCCTCCAAAAAACTGGGTGCCCAAACAAATTTGTGAACATCCTGTGTCTCCTCCATGATGACATGATGGCAACAGTCTTGGACAGCAGTGGCTCCCAAAGTGACCCATTTAAGGTGGAATCAGGTGTCAAACAGGGATGTGTTATTGCCCCAACCTTATTTTTCATCTTCATCGCAATCTACAGACGTCACATGCAGCTCCTGGAACAATTCCATCAGCGCTGCCTCCAGAAAATCCTGCAAATCTACTGGGAAGACAAGTGGACAAATGTCAGCGTGCTGGAAGAAGCAAAGACCACCAGCATTGAAGCGATGGTCCTCCGCCATCAACTCCGCTGGACTGGCCATGTTGGCTGGATGCCTGACCACCATCTCCCAAAGCAGTTGCTCTACTCCAAACTCAAGAATGGAAAACGGAATGTTGGAGGACAGGAAAAGAGATTTAAAGATGGGCTCAAAGTCAACCTTAAAAACTCTAGCATAGACACTGAGAACTGGGAAGTCCTGGCCCTTGAGTGCTCCAGTTGGCAGTCAGCTGTGACCAGCCGTGCTACAGAATTTGAAGAGGCATGAATGGAGGGCGAAAAAGAGAAACGTGCCAAGAGGAAGGTGTGTCAAGCCAACCCCGACTGGGACTGGCTCCCACCTGGAAACCGATGCCCTCACTGTGGGAGAAGATGCAGATCAAGAATAGGGCTCCACAGCCAGCTACGAATCCACCCCCAGGTTACCACTCTTGGAGGACCATCATCCTCAGACTATGAGGGATCGCCTAAGTAAGTAAGTAAGTACAACTGACTTCTCTCTTTTTACAAGTCTAATGTGCATTTTTGTTAGATTCCAAAGAATAATCAGGAAGGAGAAAGAGCCTCAGTGGAAATTTCACTCCATCAAGTGCCAAACGTAATGTGTGTTTAATGCTTAAGCTGGGGTTTAGAATGAGCTTTTACACTTGACTGAATCGTGCAGTGCAGTAGATGATAGATAATTATTAGAGGCACCTTAGCAACATAGAGTGATTGGCACTGTGAAGTAGTGAGAACATGCAGCTGCCAAAAGTGATGGTTTCCAATTATACCTGTGCAATTTAAAGGATGGATGAAAGAGAGAGATTTGCTTTTCATTATGAACCATAATCCCCTTGGTTGTTTTTTGTTTTTGGAGGGGGGGGGGGTTTACTGACACAGCAGAGCATTTTTTAAAAGCTCCAAATATTGATTTAGATGGAAAGGAAAGCAGACCTCAGGAACAAACACTTTAGGGAATCATTTCATACTATTTGGCTAAACCCCTAATTTGATAACTTGAAATGCGAATTCTTTTTCTTTTCACCATCCCGGGAGCACCCATGTGGTGTCTTTGATAGACCAACATGCATTATTTAATCCCTTGGTAAAGTGACTAGATAAACACTGATTAAGGATTGTCAGACCATATCCACATCTCCAAGTGATCTACAGTCTTATCTTAGATTTTAGCTCCTATTTTAAATGTTTGGCTGAGACTCTGCATCAGAGGCATAGCCATAACATCATAACTGCATCTCCTGATCTGATTTCAAAACCCAATTTAGAAACCATGCAGCTGCCACAAATGACAGAATTCTGCAACATTGGTAAGTGGGGTACTTCAGGATGATGTGTCCAGCCCTCCTCCCAGCTGCAACTGACAGTCAAACAACAAATTGCAACAGGTCTCCACAGTAAACCTTGCACTTGCTCCTTGGACCATCACTCACTTGTGACCGGGAACAGGTCATGCCACTTTGCCCTGCCCTGCTCAGATACTACTTTTACAAGCCCAATTCCATAGTTGGAGTGATTGCCATATTACTGAGACATCAAACTCTGCATTGCCACAGGAAGATTGTCCTTGGTCTTCAGCGCTCTATGAATAGTGAATATCATTGTTTTTTAGAGGCCTATGCACACAGGCATCCAACTGAATATTGACTCCTTTGTAAATATGCAATGTAAGGTATTTTATTTATAATAGTAGCTCATTGTAAGAAACTTTCCTTCAAACAGTAGCATGATTCTGGTTATATGATTATAGAAAACTGAATTAGTTGTTCCAGTTATTTACAAAAATAAAATATAAATTGATTTCTATTTGTTATATCAGAATACCATACGTTGTTATAGCTCTCAATGAGGAATGATATAAGAAATGACCATTATCCACACCATAAATTAATAAAATACATTTAATAGTAATGTATTTTCTCGCTTGAGATGTTAATTAGTTTGCTTTAACTGATCTGTACTGAGGCACTGTTTGACTCCCTAACTTTACCTGTTCTTGATTCAGTGAGCAAACAGCTCCTTCTAGTGGTTCTTTGTATAGTATTGAAAATGAATACCTAAAAACCCCATGGAAGCCTTGACAATTTAGAAAGCAGAATGGATGTCTTGAAATTCCATTCATTTCTCAAATTAAACCAGTCTTCTATTTGCAGAAACACTCCTATCTCTTTGATTTGATAGTTATTTTAAGATTTTCCAACTTCTGTCATTATTATAGTTGCAGGTGGTGGGTCTATTGTGTTCGTATATATTATCAGATTGAAACATTTAATCGTCCCTCATTCTTTTGCAGTAGTGTGATAAGGTTTATGTCTCTACTGGGAAATTGGCTTTTGTTGCTTGAGGTGCAGATTTAGATACCTGCTAGTTATTGAAGTTTGACTTGTTCTCTCTCTAATCTGTCTCAAAAAGATGTCCAGAGGCTTTATAAAATAAATTAGAATTGAAAAGCACTTGTACAAGGAAAGACTTTATATGAATGTTTCAGAACAATCAACAAATGAATCTTGTATGAAGATATATTTCCTTTTGTTTAATTTCTCTCTTTAGGACTCTCCTTTAAAAGCTGTACAGATGCTATGGGTCAACTTGATTATGGACACCTTTGCCTCTCTTGCATTGGCTACGGAACCTCCCACAGAATCCCTCTTACTAAGGAAGCCGTATGGTAGAAACAAACCTCTTATCTCACGCACCATGATGAAAAACATTCTGGGCCATGCTGTCTACCAGCTCACTCTTATTTTTACTCTTCTCTTCGTTGGTAAGCTCAATTAATTTTCTTTCTTTTCAGCACTTAAAACAATCTATTGCATGTACTGTTGAAGGCTTTCATGGCCGGAATAACTGGGTTGTTGTAGGTTTTTTCGGGCTATATGGTCTAGAGGCATTCTTTCCTGATGTTTCGCCTGCATCTATGGCAAGCATCCTCAGAGGTAGTGAGGTCTGTTGGAACTAGGAAAAGGGGTTTATATATCTGTGGAATGACCAGGATGGGACAAAGGACTCTTGTCTGATGGAGCTAGGTGTGAATGTTTCAACTACCCACCAAGAAAATCCAGCAAATGCTACGTTCAGCAAAGGACAAGAGGGATCCTCTCACTTCTGCAGGAGTCTACCGTGTACCATGCAGCTGTGGACAAGTCTACATAGGGACCACCAAACGCAGCATTGCCCAAACACGAATCAAGGAACATGAAAGGCACTGCAGACTACTTCAACCAGAGAAATCAGCCATAGCAGAGCACCTGATGAACCAACCTGGACACAGCATATTATTTGAGAACACAGAAATGCTGGACCACTCTCACAACCACCATGTCAGACTACACAGAGAAGCCATTGAAATACACAAGCATGTGGACAATTTCAACAGAAAGGAGGAAACCATGAAAATGAACAAAATCTGGCTACCAGTATTAAAAAACTCTAAAATTGCAACAGCACAACAGAGAGGAAACAGGCAGGGACATCTAATTACCTCTCAACAAAAGTTTGCTCCAGGCACAGTCAGCCCATTGTATGCTAATCAAGGTGGTCAGTTGAAACATTCACACCTAGCTCCAGCAGACAAGAGTCTTTGTCTCACCCTGGTCATTCCACAGATATATAAACCCTTTTGCCTAGTTCCAACAGACCTCACTACCTCTGAGGATGCTTGCCATAGATGCAGGAGAGAATGCCATATAGCCCGAAAAAAACCTACAACAACCCAATCTATTCCATGCTTGTATGATCTAATAATATGCTGTCATACAACTGTATTCCCACTACAAAGCATTTCAGATGCTCATGGCATGCCATTTCTCAATCATGATTGAGGACCCACATGGCATTCTTTCTATATATTTTTCAACAAAGTAGAAGTGAGCCGTATAAATTAAACACTGCTGAAAATAATAAAGAATCACACATACTGGAAATACCAGTTGGTCCTAACCTAGCCCCATCTACATTGCCATATAAAATCCAGATTATCTGATTTGAACTGGATTATATGGCAGTGTAGACTCTCATAACCCAGTGAAAATCTGGATTATATAGCAGTGTAGAAAGGGCCCTAAAGCTCCTTCCTCTTTCCACTTTGATAGCAAGTGGAAAGAGGAAGCATTTATTATTCCCAATTGATTATTTTTCTCAAAGGTTCTCATCACAGAATAATTTCCAGGGAAAAGTTTCCACAACATCCACATGCACACAAGCACATAAATATGCACATATGGTGTGGAAATGTTAACCATATCATGTATCTCATAATCTTTGAAAAGCCATTTAAAGCCCTTTTCCCCAAAGGTTTATGTCATCTTCATCTCATGCCTGTATCTTATCTCATATTTGAGATAATACAAATTTCATCTACTTTTATCCATACTGGTATACTGCAATCAATCATGTTAGATGGGCTAAATATAGGATGTGATCTAGTTATTCTTCAAAGGCACTGACAGCCCTGATGTTTAGTGGAATGGGCTAACAATTGAGTGCTTTGCTAAGATTGCTTCTATTTCACAAAATCTGTTGCTTCTGAATCAGCCACAAGTGATTCCGTCAAGACAAAATATGACAAATCACCTGTGTTCATTTACTCATGTCCATTTTAGTGAAATAGAATGCTCCACCTAGTACTGAATCAGATCTTTCTCACTTGAAATGGAAATGATATGTAGTCCAGAGACTGATTGAATGAAGTTGCAACAACAGTCATGCCTCAATGAAAGAAAGTTATATAAGATATGTCATTTAGATTTTTGTATGTGCCCTTAAAGTAGTGTTCTTTCATGTTAACTATTTTGCTAAGTCTAAAGGAAGTAAATGCTATGTTATTTTCTTTACATTATTGAAACATTCCAATAAAATAATTTCCACAGATTTGAATGTGTTTGAATATAACATTAAAACCAAAAAATGTGGTACTAGATAACATTATTTAGAGAATTGTGTGTGTGTGTGTGTGGGGGGGGGGGGGGGGGGGGGGTCCAGAAAACACACATCACAGTTCCCGAGTTGCAAACATCTGACTTATAAACAACATATAGTTAAGAAGAGGGGTGAAAGTAATCTACCCCTCAGAAGGGAAATTCACTCCTGAAGAGTTATCATGGAGAAAAGGTGTCTCCACTGAAGCTTTATCACCAATTCTTGTTTCCACAATAAGTCTTTTTTTAAAAATCCAATTGTTACACAGATAGAAAGTGCAGTGAAATCTTCTTAACAAGGGAACTGGCAGTAAAACAAACCCCACAGGATTTTAAACCCTTCCCTATGCTATTCAAAGATAGCTAGATATGGCTGGAGTTACACTTAAAAATGTACCTGTTCCGATTTACAAATAAATTCAACATAAGAACAAACCTACATACCCTATCTTGTTTGTAAATTGGGGACTTTTAGTATCTGTCTGTGCTATAAAAGCTGTGGTTTCATGATGACATCTGAGAGGCTATTATTTAGATAACTAGAAATGAGTGTTGGATGAAATTTCTGCTGTTTTATTTATAATTAGGTCATCAGTTACCTGAGTACCTAGGAAGAAAAATAATTGACCTCACAAGTTGTAAACTGAGTTGTAAGGCTGATTATCAAATGTGCTTAAATGCTCCTCTGGTTTTTGAAAACTTCTCTGGAAAACACTGAAATAAGCCATTTGAGTCAAATGATATAAGAATATCCATTCTGAATGAGAGGGAAAAAATCTATCTTGTCCATTTGGCAATGAATACCTAAATACTAGGTAGAAAACATAATACCCTCCAGATGTTGTTCAACTGCAGCTCCCAGCAGGCCCTGACCAGTTTAGCCAATGGAAAATAATGTTGAGAGCTGAAGTTCTTACCATTGCATTATAAAGTCTTTGCACATAATCACATGTTGATTAGGTTGAATATTGTTTCTGTTTGGTCATAGTCAAGGGTTTATCAGAGAGTCTGAAGTCAATAGCTTACTGCTATTGTTTCTGCTCGGGAGATGTGAAGCAAAGTTGCAAAAGATTTATGGAAGCCAAGAGAAAGTACTTCATCATGCAGTCATGTATTTTATGGAATTTTCCATTACAGCGTAATAATTATATATATATATATATATATATATATATATATATATATATAATCTGCCTCTCCTTGCAGTTCAAGGCAAGGTGCAACATAGTTAAAACAGCAAAGTAAAACAAAGTATTATTTAAATACATATAACAAATACAGGTAAAATACAGCTGTAAATTCACAAGTTAAAACTGACTGGATAGGCTTGCCAGAAGAGGTAGGTTTTAATTTATTTATTTATTTACTGCACTTGTTAACCGCCGCTCTCAGCCCAAGGGCGTGTCTTCAATTCTGGTGTGTCTTCAATTCTGACAGCTGATTTAGCTGTCAGAGCTCTTCTGGCAGGTCGTTCCACAGTCTTGGGGCAGCCAGTGAAAAGGTCCTCTGGGTGACGGTCGCAAGTCGGGTTCCAGCTGGTAGGAGTAGCCATCCCCCAGAGGACCTCAGTGTTCGGGGCAGATTGTATGGGAGAAGGAGACCCTGGGTTAACCTGGATTCAAACCATGTAGTCACCATGCCCACATCCTATAGTAAAAAATTCCATAAAATATGTGACTACATGAAGTACTTGCTCTTGGATTCCATAAATCTTTTGCAATTTTGTTTCACGTCTCCTGTTTTTAGTATGAACTTATGTGAGGATGCTAAATATATCTTTGAACACCATGATTCTGATTCTCATTTTCTTTAAATAGTAGTAGTTGGTCAGGGACAATATAGATTTGTAAAGAAGCATCCAGCAGAAGCTTGAAATTATTTTGTCCTGAAACTGAAGCTGTCATCATATCATGGCTGCTAACAGTAACAAAGAATAAAACAACTTACTGCTATGATAGAAATATCAGTTTGTGGAAGGGTTGTGAATGTTTAGCTGAAAATGGGCAGGGTAAATGTGTTGCTGTGCCTCAGTCCCAATTCAGAATATTATTCTCTGTCCAACAGAACTGTAATCTTTTCTAATGGCTGAAGCTGCAAGTCATGAACTTCATCTCTCTGCCTCCATAACTACAGCTCCCTGCACTAACACCATATTGTTACCACCTACTCACTTTGAGATGTTCGTTGGGAACTCTTCCCATTTAGATTTGCTTAACACCAAAAATAATTAACTGGGTAACTCTGAATAAAGTTACCCTTATTTTATCCCCTCTTTTGGGTTTGGTGTCTTTATTCCTCAGGTTAGATAGCAATACTTCTGATGAGTTTGAAAAAAAATATTTGGTGTCCACCACTCTGTGTGTTCCTAATTTTATTTTTATTGATTGATTTTGCTTATTATTGCATTGCTTTTGCTAGGCTTTTTTGCTTTTTTCATCCTCATTTGGATGAGACTTCTATATTATTTTAAAAAGGAATATTGTCTGTATTTTTATAGTTTTATTCTTCCCATTGGCCACAGTGACATCTTGAACTTGTTTATAAAGTCCTTATCTGTGGTACAAATTCTCAGTTTTTATTGTTGTGGTTTCAGAAAACATTTAAGCACCCTATGGAGAAAATTGACCTTTTTCTTATTTTCCTTCCATTTCTTGTTGTCTCCTCTCCTACTGCTACCATTTCTAAAAATATCTCCTTTCAGATTAGATGCACATTATGGATAACTTCTGTGTATTCATAAATGTTGCATTTAACACTGTTCTCAGCTTAAACTGTGATCAGATTTTGAATGTCACTCAAGTTTAACTCTAGTTGCCTCTTTCCAACTTCTTCTACTGCCAGGTTCTTCAAGACATTCATTTCTTGGAGTAGGGATGTCTGCCTCATTGCCAGAACGTGAACATGCATTTACCTAGTAAATGTGAAGGTGGTTGAAGTCATTCATATTGCAGCCTTTTCCCCTTTTAACTACATTTCTGTGATTTCTTTTTCTAGCTCAAAATTATCCTCAAATGCTTGATTGGCTGTAGTTCATGCTAACATATCTCCAGAAGTAAATAACTTGTGTTCTTAATAATGTTCATTCCAGAATGATTCTTTAGAGAAATGTATTCCTTGTAGGAATTCTAGTTTATTAATTTTCATGCCTTGTTAGATATCTGTTCACTGAAATTATTTTTATACTGCTTGTTACACTGACCACAATATCTCCTTATTCTGTTTTTCTATACTATCTGCATTGTCATAATGTTATTCTCCTGCTTATTTCCATGCCACAAAGATTCAAATGTGGTCACCATATCTGTTTTACTGCTTAGCATGAGCCATTGCAGCTTTTTCTGCTTAGAAATTTATAACATCGCTATATATAAATGCTGTTTTTTCTTTTCCAAATGCTCTCCTGTGCATGTTTCTTTTATGACCCCTTTACATACCTGTCAAGTTCTACTCTTTCTCTCCTTAGATGAATAGCTAGGGTATGAATCTTCCTGAAGTAGATCTTTCCCAGTTCCTTTTCATTTTCCCTAGAATTCATTTTAAAACCTTGTGAAAATGTAAATATTTGTGTTAATAAATGAATTCTGCTAGGCTGCTAATGATTGATAGTTTTTCTTGCTGTGGTGGTTGTGGTTATGACTATGACCTCATTGAATACTGCTTTGCATGTTGGACTAGGACACTGAAAGACCAGAGTTTGAAGCTCCTCTTTGCCATTGAAACACACTCGGACCCATCTTCACTGTGATATAATGCCATTTGAAACTGCATTACATCGTCAGTTTAGGATCCATATAAGGCAGTTTCAAATGCTATTATATGGCAGTCCCAGTGATCTTGCAAAAGTCTAATTCTCTCAGTTTGAAAGGAAGGCAATGGCAAACCATATCTGAAGAGATCTTGCCAAGAAAACACTATTAGATGCACCTCATAGTTACTATAAGTTAAAAATGACAAATCCAACAGCAGTCTAAATTGACAAGCAATCTAAATTACATTATAAACCTTTGCATTAAAACATAATGTGCACTAATTGTTTTTATATTATATTTTTTGTTTCCTCCGTTTAATCAGGGGAAAAAATGTTTGAAATTGACAGTGGCAGGAATGCTCCACTCCACTCTCCGCCTTCTGAACACTACACCATAATCTTCAATACCTTTGTCATGATGCAGCTGTTTAATGAAATCAACGCACGCAAAATCCATGGTGAAAGGAATGTTTTTGACGGCATCTTTAGAAATCCTATATTTTGCACTATTGTACTGGGCACATTTGCTGTTCAGGTAATCATTATACAATGTTAGCGCAGCAAAATATAAGTTTTTTCCACACCTCTCCAAATTATAATCTTTGAAAAACCAAAAGTTTTGTAATATTACATATGAATAAATTGCTCATTTGTTGATGAGTTAAGGAGACATTCTGATTTTTCCTTTATTTCTTTCTGTTTTCTGATTGTTTCAGTTTAATCTTTCCTTTACCATTATCCTCCAATTTCTTTCTTTCTGTTCAATTCATTTGATATTTCTGTTAGGTGTTTCTTAATAGCTTCATTTGCTAGTTTTGCCCTTCTACAAGAGTTAGCTTATGTGAAAGAAAATGAAAAGAAGCAGAAATGCTATAATATATTCCTTAATAATAATAATAATAATAATAATTTTATTTTTGTATCCCACCTCCATCTCCCCAAAGGGACTCAAGGCCGCTTACATGGGTTTACAAGCCCAATCAAATTCTTCTCATTGGTTAATGATTTAAAGCATATCTTGTTAATATTCAAATAGTGCTATTCAAAAGGATATTAATAAGTCACCTTGGTTAAAATAAATCTCAAGAGGATAGACTTTATTTGGTAAATAAAATATTTCTTATTTCTTGGCCATCTTTTAAAAAGATCTTAAACATTCAATGTAACGCCCAATTTTGGAGGCTTTGATGATAGCAAAAGCAATACTTCCAAAATGGCCTGTCATAGATCACATGAAATAATAAGTCTGTAGTGTTGGTCTGGTTTGGTCTAGTTTATACTAGACCTGGTTTATACTAGACTTCTTAGACTTGTTTTCCATCTCTGCTTAATAAGTACATCTTATAGCTTTTTAAAACTGTTTTACTTTTCTTGCTCCTTTGCAGATAGTAATTGTACAGTTTGGTGGGAAACCTTTTAGCTGTTCTCCTTTGGAACTTGACCAGTGGATGTGGTGTGTATTTATTGGATTAGGTGAACTTGTATGGGGTCAGGTAAGCATAATTTATTTTATATTGATTATATATATATTTCATTTCTGTTCATATGCCCTAAATCGGTCAAATCACCCTGAAAATTTTCTAGCTCAAAATGTGCATGGAAATCCATATACTAAAATATCTCTATGCAGCTATAGGGCTTCTCCAGGAAGATAGTGTTGCAATAATCTACATGATTCTATTGCCCTCATTTGGTGCCCCATCCCACATATTTGTGGAATTCTTGTGGTCTATCAGCTGTTTCCCTTGCTTAACTCATCACTAGGCTAGTATTGGTGTATCCTCAGTTTGTTTTAATGGGTGATTTTGGTATCTATGCTGAGAATGCCCTGTCAAGAATGGCTCAGGAATTTGTATTCATCATGACAAACATGGGGCTGAATATGGATGTTGCTAGAATTATTGTGGACTTTGTTTCCTCTGGAGTGAGTTAATGGTGATTGAGCAGTGGATGAACTTTCTATAGCCATGGACAGATGACTGCCTTAAATCTTATTTTATGCCTTTACATGGGTGGAGACCAATATAGATAGTCAACCCTAATTATCTGGTTGGTTTCCTAATGGTTTTGGGGGGGAGGCAGGAGGGGGTGTCATTTCAGCAAGAGATTCAGTCAGAGAACTGACTGATCTACAGAATAATGAAATAGATAGGATGCTACAAACAATTACTTGTGAGCATCCCCTTTCACAGAATGTAGACACACCAACCTTTGGTTTGAAACAAGTGAGGCAGTGAATAGAGCAGCACTGGTGGAAACTATGGAGCATAGGATGAGGCTAGAGGCTCTTTGTAGACCTACCCCAAGGCACTGAGCAGCATAAATCCCTTTTTCATCTGTGCCACCACTGCATCTGCAAAGAGCCATCCACTGGAAGTGTTCAGTGGTCTTTCACAATATGGGAGTAGATAATTCATGTTAGACAATTTGTCCAGTACTTTGCAGGTAAAGTTGTTTCTTCCAGCTCTTCTTTATAACACTTTAGACTCCCAGTGAGTTCATACCTTCACCATAGTATGTAGCTCTTTATTTGCTAATCCTTGAGTCTGTCTGTATCTTGAACTGGCAGCAATACCAACATCTTCAATGCTCCTACTCAACAACTCTCTCTCCAAACACTGCAATTCACTCTCTGGTCTCTCTTTAAATGCTCTAACTACAGAGAAGCTTGTGTTTCTTTTATTACTCTTCAGCTACTCCATTCTGGCTTGCAAACTACTCAATAATAACCAGATGGTTGAGTCCTTAATGCTTGTTTCTTGAATGGTGCTGATTCTCATAATCACTTATTGTCACTTCAGAAATGATAATGTTACAAAACTCTGACACTTAATGCTTACAGTAAGGAGTCCCTGATTGAATTAGAATTTACTGAATGCCAGCTGTAAATATTTATATTTATTTGGGTCCAAAGACCCCAAAGCATATTGATATGTAACTAGATCTAATATCAGATTATTACCTTTATATCTAAAGTACTAATTGCAACTTACAGCAATGCAGGGGAAGCTAATATTTCTGAAGATCAGTTTCAAGTATTATCAACTAATATATTCAAACTTCATCCTTAAATGCCATCCAGAGAAGATTGACAGGGACAGAAGTTCCAAAAGAAGGAGATGAATTAATCCTGTAATTAGAACATGTATAAGAAAGACATGGCACTAAAGCAAATGAACCCAAGTTCAAAAGTAGTGTGAAACTGATGCTTCTGAAAGTCTCACTTAAAAGGAAACTTCTAAGGCGCTTACATTTTTTATTTTTTTATTATTGAAGTTCTGTTGAAGCTTTCCCCATTCCATTTGAAACTAAGAATAAAACTTGCTCTTCTGCCCTGAAAGATCCACTTTCTATTTTCAAAATCTATATACTCTGCAAGACTGTAGCAATGCCCAAGTGGTTATCGTTACGGAGGAGAGCTTGACTTCAGTTAGAAACAGACTAGGAGGAGTGCTTCAGAAACTGGAGTTTCTTTCTAATATCTCCTGTCAGCTAACCTGGGAAATGCATGTTACCTTACAGCTGCAAGATAGGACTTTTTATTGTGGCTTTTACAGTTTAATTGTCTCGTGTTGGCTTCATGTTGTTGTACACTGCTTTTGTGATCAGACAAGTGGGGCAGCAAAAAAGAATGATATGAAAAACATTTCCAGAAGGCTACCCCCTGGAGTCATATTTCTCTGAGGTTCATGGCTTTTTGAAGGCAATAATCAGGAGAGGCATAGCCTTTCATCTTTCTGGCCTTTTATGTCAGTTAACGAAGACTCTGATTTCTAAAAATTTGGTGATTTTTTTATAACAGTCTATACACTCAAGAGGCCTTCACCATCTCAAGGCTAAAGGACTTTTGATTATGGGAATTCCATATCAAATGATTACAGATGTCAGTGTTGTCCTTGCTCTTCAGTCGGCCTGTGTTTTGCTTTGCATAATATATGTAAGATTTTTATGTTCTGTCATTATGATGGCTCGAAATATCTTTTCAGGTCATTGCAACCATCCCAACAAGTAGGTTAAAATTTTTAAAGGAAGCAGGAGGGCTCACACTAAAAGAAGAAGTGCACGAGGAGGAGATGAATGAAGATGTAGAAGAGATTGATCATGCAGAGAGAGAACTACGGCGGGGACAAATCCTCTGGTTCAGAGGGCTAAATAGAATCCAAACCCAGGTAAGTTGTGCTAAAATAATCCTTCTGTGTGTCTTTGTAAAGGAAAAAAAATGCACAAAGGTCATTCGGTTTGTGTGGGGAGCTGAGAGTACAAGGTTTTTTAAAAAAGAAAAAGAATGAAAACCTAGCATCCAAATCATACAAAAGCAAATCGGTGGAATTGTAAAAAGTGAGGCAAATTGAATATACAAACTGAAATATATGCAAATATATACTTAGTTTTCTGATTTGTTTTATTCACCCAGAAACAACATTGACAATATTCTAATGTATACAGACGTATAAATAATGTTCTATTCTTATTTCTCGAAAGAATGGTGAATGGAGTCCCTCCAGGAGTGAGAAAGGCGGTATATAAATACTGTAAATAAATAAAATAAAAAATAAAAAGCATTTTTCATGAAAAAAAATCTTATCAAATAAGAAATCATATCTTCAGAATACAAGAAATGAATTTTGTGGGGTAGAAGGCAGATAAATGTTTGTGGTCAACCTTGAATGGCTTTCACCTTTCTTCATCTTTTCAGGAAATTATTTGAATATATTAAATATTTTCCAGATATTGCTGCTTTGTTGCCTTTATTTTAATACCAGAATGTTAAATTTTCCCATTTATTACGGATATCTCACTTTTTAAAACCAAAATAAAAGATACAAATGTGCAACCTCTATGTTTGTGAGTGAAAGAAAAATATGAAAATGAATGAATTTATTTTACAGCAAAATATACTTTACAAACAAGATTGTTATTCAGACATGTAAATTTCAATAATCATTTATCCCGCTTTCTGATTAAGGATGTTTGTCATTAATGTAAATATGAAGTTATCATGTGAAATGCTTTCTGGTCAGAATGGTTTTGTTCAGAGTTTTGATAAGGTGGGCGTTCAATTAGTAGAGAAATAGACTATAGTAAAAACTCTGCTTTGCATTTTCAGAGAAGCTTTTAGGTTCAGTTACCTGTCCCAGAAGCCTTAACTTTAAAAAACAAGCAAACTGACCTTATTAAGATAAATGGGCAAAAGTATGATAAGTGGGACCCTACGCATAGCTGGAACCTGTACACTGATTGCACAACGCATGTCAGAATTAATGAAGGGAAGTCGACTTGGACTGCTCCCAGCTGCTGGGGCTGCTTTCTTCGAAGGGCGGAAAGTGTGCTGGCAGCTGGGGAAGGTTTTTAAAATGCCCTAGTGCAAACAGAGCGGCAGGAATCAGATTCCTTCCTTCCCCTCTTCTTGTGCTTTCCCCTGCCTGCTTTCTGACAGTGGAGGAGCCGGGGCTCTGGGAGGGCAGAACACGTAAGCTGTAGACCCCCTCCTTCGCAGCTGCATCTCTCACTCGCTGCACTGTCTCACACACATGTTCCCTTCATGAATTCTGACTCATAGTGCACAACCGGCGTAGGGTCCCAGCTATAATACTTTTGCTGATAAATGCAAAGGAGTTTTCAAAAGGAAAAGAAGATTTGCTTTTTGTTACCTTTTGTTTTTGTTTGTGCGAGAAAGGTACTTGATGCACAAAAAAACCTACATGGCCTTTGTTGGTGGTTTTTTAAATCATTAATTTATATATATATATATTATCAAATGCAAGAAAGAAGAGGGAACTGGTATGGTAAATACTCTTTAGGTTTGTGCTTACGACTGAGTAAATTTGCAGTATCCTCTGGGTAAATAATTAAATGAAGTTCTGTAGGGCTGGATCTAGGAGCACTCTCCAACAGACAAGGTTCTTTAACTATTTGCCAGTTGGGGGCTATTATCAGCCCTGACCTACCTTCTAAATGTGAATTATTTTCTTCCTGGTGGCTGTAGGAGGAGTTTTGTCTCTTGACATTTCTATCAGGATGTCTTTCTGGTTGTGGTGAGTGTAAACAACAAAGAGCAAATTCTGCTCTCAGATTCCCTTGTAGATTGAGAAATAACCTTTAGTTCTTCTATATATCTTTAACCTCATAATCCATGGAAAATTCTTGTTACTGTTCAACAATTAAACAAAAATAAACTATAATAATGTTTTCTTGCTAACCATAATTCTTCAGTTTCCTTTCTACTTAGATATAGCCCTAATGTGATAGGAGCCACTGATCTGTTCCCTACCAGTAGGTTTTTGTAATTACTTACTCCCATCCCTTTTGTGTCCTATGTGTTTTGTGTTCATTGGACATCAATCTGCAATGAGTCTGGAAAGGGTTTTGTGTGATGTTTCAGTGGATCCTGGGGAAGCCTCTTTAAGTTGGTAAAATAAATATAAAAGCTATTGCTGGAACCAAAAGGGTTAGGGTTGCTGGAACTTTCAGGGCAGCAACATCTGGAGAGCTCCATGATTACAATCTCTGGGTAAATCCAATTAATCCCAACTGAAGTAGACCCATGTTATGTGTGAACTTTTATATCCAGTCATTGGATCTACTTTGGTTCAGCCTAATGATTGGATTCTACCCCCCACCCCCTTGTTAGTAAATATCTGTTGCTTTGTTCCTAAATTTGTTTGCTTCAGGTTCCATTGTGGGGAGAAAGGCAGGATATAACTCACACAATAAAAATATAATATAGATCAGTGGTTCTCAACTTGTTGGTCCCCAGATGTTTTGGCCTACAAATTCCAGAAATCCCAACCAGTTTACCAGCTTTTGGGATTTCTGGGAGTTGAAGGCCAAAACATCTGGAGACCCACAGGTTGAGAACCACTGATATAGATGTTCTCTCAAGTGCAAGTCTAGTTCCATGAATGCTCTTAATTTATTTTTATTTATTTTTTCTAACAGACTTTCCTTTTCATTTATTTTTGTAAGTAAGGGTAGTTCTACTCAGACACTAAAATCAAGTTAGGAAGTGGATTAAACCAAAACGGTTCTGCTGTAGAGCACCTAATCACCCTGGGAACTGGTTCGAAGCTAGCATTGTGGCAACAGTATCTGCTGATTGCAGATTGGAAATGAACCCAGGAATATTATTTTTTCTTGCCCAGTCTGCTGAGATGTGCATCACCACATCCATTTGGAATCAGTGCTATGGGAACAATGAAAATGGTTGGAAAGCAGGAGTTCCATGGGAATTATTATGTGGTTTCCACTCCTGGGAAAATAATTGATTACCTTCCAGTCAGCTGTGTTTTGGCATTTTTAAAAAGTGCTTCAGTGCTAGCAGTGTTCTGATGAGTGTGCTGCATTTTATGGTCCCAGTTCAAGCCTGAACAGTTTTTTAAATACACTGTCTTAAACATGTGTACGTTTTGGGGAGTATTTGACTCTCAGAGGTTGGGAGATTCTTCAGGTTCCTCAGGGTTATTTCCTATTTTGAGAAAGAAAAGAAAGAAAAGAAAGAAAGAAGACTTCCTAGTCATAGGAAAATTAGGACAGTCTTCTGAGAATTTCATGCAGTTGTTGGATTTTTTTTTAAATACATCTCTTGCAAACACAAACAACTTTCAGTAAATTTCCAGTCACTCAAAGATGTTTCCATACAGAGTAATGGGGGATTAGTATTGAAATATAGGTAATAATCAGTTACCTAAAAAGCAAAACAAAACATTACATCTTTTTCTTTTAAAAGCAAAGACAAAATTATACCTTTTAAAGTATTGTCTTCATTGGCTTTATACAAAGGGTAAACTTTCAATAGGATCTGCCACCAGAATTGCCATTGTTTTTTTTTCTCGCTGTTTGAAATTCCATCTGTTTGATGCCACTTTAGCTGCCAACATCCTATCAAATCTTGGGATTTGCAGTTTTGAGAGATACTTTGTAGAAGAAAAGATGAATACTTCACATAACTACAAATCAAAGGATTCCATAGAATGGTCATGACAGATAAAGTGATGTGAAAGTAACATAATTGTGTAGTGTAAAAGAAACCCAGTGCTACTTTCCAGTAATGATTCAATAAAGTGAAAAATCTATTTAGCTACTCTCCTCTGAAGAAACAGCCAGTCACATCTTTGTGATATCAGTAATGAATGTTGATCTGTCTTAAATTTTATCCTTTCTTTGATCTGAATGTCTTTTTTATCATGTAGGCACACTGTGAAGGTATCATTTTTAAAAAGAAAGTAGAATTGTTAAATTGATTTTAGAATATTCATTCTGCAATATGTGTAGTCATTGCTTATAGAGACTCTCCGGGCCCATCTACATTGCCATATAGTCCAGTTTCTGCATCTGGGTTATCTGTTTTGAACTGGCAGTGTAGATTAGTGTAATCTAGTTCAAAAGCAGATAACCTGGATTCAGAAACTTGGTTATATGGCAATGTAGATCCAGAAAACTGAACTAGCTGTATTGGGAATTGCGTTACAATTCTGCAATAGAATGGTTTAAATCTGTATTAAATGGTGCACTAGGATTTTTTCTTCTTCTGGTAATTAAAGCTTCCATAATATTAGAAATGCAATCTCCATGAGCCAAACTTGGTTCCCAGTTACTATTATCTCCCAGTATGTATTCCTTGGTACGCATTTGCCTTATACAGTATTGTACTTTTTGAATTGCATGGTCTGTCAAGGCACTGAAGAGTAGGAATCCTGAATACATATATAGAGCAAAATATAGATAACCACAATTGAGATTGACAGCTAATTATTATCTGGTCTCATGTATGTAGCAAGGCTTTCAAGACAGCCTCTTCTTTAAATATGAGTACAGGCAGTCCCCAAGTTGCAAACAAGGTTCTGTAGAATTGTTCTTAAGTTGAATTTGTATGTAATTTGGAACAGTTAAAATTTAAATATAATTCCAGCCATATATGTGTATACATGCACAAACACACACACACACACACACACACACACACACAGAGAGAGAGAGAGAGAGAGCTTTGGATAGCATAGGGAAGGTGTTTGCTTTGCTGTCTGTGCTCCTGTTAAGAAAATTTCACCTCTCTTTCTGTCCCTGTGATAACTGGTGATAATTAGTGATAAAGCTTCAGTGGAGACACATTTCCTCCCATGACAACCCTTTCAGGAGTGAATTCCCCTTCTTATGGGTAGATTTCTATCAC